TCCCCTCTCCCACAGTCCCGTGACCCCCCCCGTCCCCTCCCCCACAGTCTGGTATGACCCCCTGTCCCCTCCCTTACACCCCCAGATCCCAGGTCTTCCTGTCCGCTCCCCCACAGTCCCCAGGATGACCCCCGCCCCCATCCCCACGTCCCCTCCCCCCAGGCCCCACCCCGGCCTGCCTGGCCTGTCCCCCAGGGGGTCTTTGTCGTGTCCCCGCAGCAGCTGGAGCTCATCAGCCCTTTCCAGCTTTACTTCAACCCGGACCTCATCTTCAGGAAGTTCCAGGTGACTGGCCAGGGTCAAGGTCAGGGGAGAGGGAGGGGGGTCGGGGAGGGCCCCCCTCCCCCTTGGCCTCCCCCCCCCCCCCCCCCCCCCCGCCCAAGCCGGACAGAGCCAAGACCCTCGGGCGCCCCATGGTCACAGCGTCAGAGAAGGAGGGACGGACTGGTGCAGACCAGACTCAGTGCCCCCTTCAGCCCCTCCTGGGTGACTGGGCCTGGGGGGAGAGCGGGACGGAGGGGCCCCCTCCCATCCTCCAGGAGCGGGTGTTCTCGGTGAGATCCTCAGGAAGGGGCCGGGGCCGGGAGAGGGCGTTAGTTCCAGCAGCCAGGCCTTTGCAGCTGCCTACCCCCCTCCAGACTGTCCGGTTGGGATGTTTCCGATAGTGCCCCTAGGTACAGGTACTGCCGCATGCTGGAGGAAGGGTCTTTCCGGGGACGGACGGCGGATTTTGTCTTCATGTTTCTCTTCGGGGGAGTCCTCATGACGGTATCCTTCCTACCCCATTCCTCCCACCGGGTGCTGGGTGGGGAAAGGCCTGGGTTCTAGTGCCTTCCACGACATGCCCTACAGGGCCCTGCTTAGACCCTTCTACAGACTGGAGGTTACAGGTGTACCAGGGGAGGGCACCTCCGTGCCCAGAGTCCCTGGCACCTCTCTGCCCTTCCCAAAACAACGATCTGAGCTGAGGAAAGGGTGACGAGGGGCCTGTCCCTTTGGAAGGGCTGAAAGGTGCTGCTCGCAGGGCTGCCAAGGTCCACCAGCACCCCGCCCCAGAGGGCCTCGGGTGCCAGGCAAGGGAAGGCCTGTGGCAGTGAGCTCTGGCCTGCGGCAGGCTGTGGAAACAGGAGGCGTGGATTTTGAATCATCTTTGCTTCCATTTGCCCAATCCTCCCAGCCCCACAGTTGCAGGCGCGACCCACACCGCCTTTGAGACCCCTGAGGTGAGCCCACTTAGTGGACACATGGCGAAACTGAGGCCAAAAAACAAAAGTGACTAATGCAGGCAGACAGCCTTTGTGAAGATTATTCTGCTAGCGCCATCTCCATTTTGGAGCTGGGGAAATGGAGGCAGGCAGCGTTGCCCAGCCAGGAAGGATCTGAGGCTGGATTTGAACCCGAGCCCAGTGTTCTGCGTGTGTAACACGGCAGGAAGATCCAGGTCCTGGGCTCCCTCACTTGTGAAATGGGGAGGCCCGCCCTTCGCTCGGACCCTTCCTTGACTCGGGAGCGCCCAGCTCTTCGGGCTCCTGGCCAGCCTCTTCTTCCTGGGCCAGGCCTTCACCATCATGCTGGTGTACGTGTGGAGCCGGCGGAACCCGGACCTTCGGATGAACTTCTTTGGCCTCCTCAACTTCCAAGCGCCCTTCCTGCCCTGGGTGCTCATGGCCTTCTCCCTGCTCCTGGGCAACTCGGTGCTGGTGGACCTGCTGGGTGAGCAGCCTCTTGGGGTGGGGGGAGGGGGGCCCCTGTCCTGGAGGGGCCCTTCTGCTCGGGCCAGGGATGACAGGGTCACAATTTGTGCGGGGGGTTCCTCGGTCCTGGAGGGACCCCTCTGCTGGGTGCTGGGACCAGGGATGGCAGGGTCACAGGGTGCAAGGGGAGGGGGTACCCAGTCCTGGAGGGACTCCTCTGCTGGGTGCTGGGGCCAGGATAGCAGGATCCCATCGTGCGGGGTGGGGGGGCGGGGCAGAGGGTCCCTTTCCCTGAATGAAGCTCCAATGCAAACCTGCACTGTCTGGGGACAGTGCCTTCAGTAGGCCCCACCCCAGCTATGCCTCCAGGTGCCCACACCCTCCAGACTTGCTGTCTTGAGCCTTCTTTGTCCCGTCCCCTGCCTGACCACTTAATGAGCCAGCTGTCTCCTGCTCAGGGATTGCTGTGGGTCACATCTATTACTTCCTTGAAGATGTCTTCCCCAACCAGCCTGGGGGCAAGAAACTACTGCTCACCCCTAGCTTCCTGTGAGTATGGTGGGCTTGGACCTGCTTACCACTGGGGCTCCCTCCCCGCCTCCCAACCCCAAAGCCCCAACCTGTGGGGGACTTCCCCAGATGTCCCTTCTCATCCCCTGGCCATCCAGGAAGCTGATCTTCGATGCCCCTGAAGATGACCCAAATTACAGACCCCTTCCTGAGGAGCAGCCGGGCATGGACCCTATGGACCGGCAACAGTGACCTCTTCCTTCTTCCACCCTGGAAAAGGTGGGCCCATGGCTCTCACCAGGAGGCTTGCATACCCTCCCCTCTCTGTCCCGCACCCAGCCTGGGAGCCCAAGTATGGCTCAGCACTCAGGGGTCCCCACTTCTCTCTCCATCTCTAACGGCCCACAGGAGTGGCCCTGGCCCCTCTCTCCCACTTCAGGAAATGAGATCGATGGGATGATCCCCAAAGGATGAATGTAAGAAAGACTTAGCAGCTTCCATGCAAGTCTTGGCATCCCGCTGCCTTCTTGCAGGAGGCTGGGGGCTGAAGGTCACTTAGGCCTGACCCCACCAGGGGCTTCCTTGGGCAGCCTCCAGCCTGCCAAAGCCTTTGTCACACACCTGAGTGGCAAGGGGAATCTGCCACCTCTCCAGGCTGACTGCTGTCCTCCCGGGTGGGGTGGGCAGCCTGACTTCAAGTTTAAGGGATCTCTGCAGCTTCTCCCAGGGTTTCAATCTTCAGGGCAATTCTTTCCCTATTTGGTGCTGCCCTGGTGGTGCGGTGGGTCAGCCCTCTCCCAGAGCTGGCCTAGGGGAACCTTAAATGGGGTTCAAAGCCAGAGGGGGCTCCCTGAACTTGTGAGAAAGTGCCAGGAGCAGTGAGGACATAATGCAGTCTCCCTGGCCTGGGGCCGGACCACCCAACTGAGCCCTGGAGGTAGCAGGAGGAGATGGTATGGGGCAGGAGGCACAAAGTTTCTCCGTTTCTTTAGCTGTAAAATGTGGACACTCATCTACAATGCTTAAGTAAGTCTGCTGCAAGATGATGCTAGGGGAGTGCCCATATGAGGACCCTCCCCTGGCCTACCTAAACTGAGCCGCTCCTCTCATCCCCAGGACTTTCATTGTCCTTTCTGGGACCACTGCTCCAAGCATCCCACACTCCTGCTCCCCCTCACCCCCAACTCCAAGCCTCATCCTTCCCTCCATTGATGCCCTGGGAACAGGATCAAATCAACTTGGCCATGTTTCTTGGATGGGACGTGCCAACCTGCTCAAGGCCCCAGTCACTATTCCAACAATGAAGCTCAGCCTTTATGAGTGTAAGCCCCTGGAAACAGGGACTTTGGTTTTTGTATTTCGATCCCAACCGTGCCTGACACAATAAACGCTTTGTTCATAACTGATCCCACAACCTCGAGGAAGGAAGGCGTGGCCTGAACCAGCCTCCTGCATGGGTGACTGCAGTGCTACGTAGCCCTTACTGGTCTTTTAAGACAGAGCTGCCCTTGGCTGCCTGGGCACCCAGGCACGTGGGCCTTCAGCTCCTCCTCCATTAGCACAAATTTAGGGTTAGGCCAGGGACAGGCACTTGCTAGGTTTTTTCCTGATCTCCATGACTACAGCTACCTCTCTCCTCTGGTTCCTGACCACGGATCTTACCTTTCTGTCAAGGGAAGGTCTGGGATGTCATGAGAGGTCCAGGGCCTCAGCACCCTCTACCCCCACAGGCTGGGGGCTGACCTGTTTCCACCTGCCACTTGTTAGCGCCACCCTGGTGGCGACAAGCACAAGATCCCTATCCTGGCTGTGCCAGCATGGCCACCAGGCGTCCAAGGTGGGAGAAGAGGACGATGCAGGCAGTCTTGACGGCAGTCTTTCTGAGGGGGCCTGTGGCCCACTGGCCATGGCCCCAGCTGGATCCCAGCCACTCCCTTGTCAAAGCAGACAAGGATGGATGGATGGTCCACGGGATACGTCAGAGGCCTGGATGCCCACCCCACCCCCAGCTCCAGTGTTCTGAGGAGCCCACTCAGTAGACATGGGGCTGGGCAGAGGCAGGCTTCCTCCATGCTCTTGTGGTCAAGGTCAGTTAGACCCGAGTTCAGACCCAGCCTCACACACTAGCCACAATTTGCCTCAGTCTGCTCAGTGGAGATCATACCAGCACCTACTTCGCCAGATTTGCAAAGCACTTAGCCCAGGGCCTGGTGCACAGTAGGCACTGAATAATTCATTCCCTTCCCTAGTCTCCTGCCACCAGATCGAGAGCCCAGGGTCAAGAAGGGTTTGAGAAGCTGATGGATGAAGGGATGGCTGGGCTCATCCACAGAGGCGAGGTGCCCAAGGAGGCCAGGAAGAGCAACCCCCCCTCCCCCATCAGATAACTGAGGACAGGAAGGGCTCACCCCCCCAGTACCCCTGCCAAGGGCTGTGCCAAGCAAGTGATCACCCCACATTCTCTTTATTTAAAAAAATCTTCCTAGCTGTGCCCTGGGCACCTATACACACAAAACAAATCCTATCAGACCAGAAAAGCCCTCCTGCACCCCTCCTGACCCTGGGCCAGGGACGGGATCCACAGGCAGACTGGGCAGGGCAGTGGATGAGGGGCCCCAGTGAAGGGCTGCACCCCTCCCCGCCAGCCTCTTCTGCCCACAGAGAAAAGGAAAGAAGGTCCCACCTTCCAGAGACTCCACCACGAGGGGTCAGTGGGCTACCAGGCTGGGGCGGTGTTGGCCAAACGTCTCATCCGCCTGTGGAGCAGAAGAGACAGTTAATGAGGGAAGGAGACCCTCACTGAGCACCCAGCTCAGGCCCACCTTCTCACTCCCCGTCCAAACACAGCCCTCCCTCTAGCATCACCTGGCTGGTCCACAAGTGGGCTGAGCTGGGGCCTAGAGGACCCTGGGAAAGGCTGGGGCCAGCACAGACCCTGACCACCATGGGAAGGAAGCCCTGGCTAGCTGGGGGCAGTCCCTCCTTTGGCCCAAACAGAGCCCTGGGCTTGGAGTCTGGACAGACGTATGTTCAAGCCCAACCGCAGACACAAACTGGGTGACCCAGGGCCTCAGTTTCCTCATTTGTAAAACAGGCATCCTGATAGGGACCCCGAGCGCATGACAAAGGCACCTGGTATTCCTGTCCTGGTCTCTAATCTTTTTCTCCATCTCAGCATCTGTCAAGGTCTCCAGGAGTGGGCACCACTGGTCAGCATCGCCAGTGTTCCGAATTGCAATCTCGACAGTAGGCAAAGGGTTCTCACTGAGGAGGGACAGACACACATGTTAGGAAAGAGATGCTCCAGCCCCTCGGATCCCCCTTCCTCCTAGCTCCCGCTGGGGCGGCCTCAGTGCTCCACTACTGGCCTGTCTTCAAAAGACGCCCTCCATCCTCCCGCCCGCTGGATGGCCCGAGCCCGCCGCTGTCTGACAGCAAGAGTCAGCACCGGGGGAATGGGAAGCACGAGCCCCCACTGGTGTGCACCACTCCAGGCTCAGCACTGTATGCGCATACACATGCATGCACGCGCGCACACACATATGCACGCACACCTGGGGGTGGGGAGTACAGCAACATGCTCAACCTCAAGGACCCCCAGCAAGGCCAGCGGCCCACACTGCCACTCTCCACGATGGCCAGACTGGTCTCCCCTCCAGCACCACGTCTGAGGTGTGGGATCCCTGGCCAGCTCAAATACCACCTCAAGGGCTCCAGCTTCACCAGCCCCCTGCCCCAATGCCCTCACGTTTCTTTAGGACGTGTTTTCTAGATGTGTCTGTGTAACCTGCCCAGATCATAAGCTGCTCGAGGGCAAGGGGTAGGGTTAGGGTTAGTGACCATTCTCCTCTTGGCAGCCCCTGCCCTCCACCAGCTCATTCTCCTGAGGAATCAACGTGTGCACAGAGAAAATGAGACACAATCAATACAAAAACATGGGAGGAGGTCGAGTTGGGGGAACTGAGCTGAGTCTGGGAGGAAAGTGGAGCTTCTGAGTGGGGGACAGAAGGAGGGAGAAGATCCCACACGCAGGGACAGCAGGTGCAAAGGCACCAGGACACCATTTTGGGAGTCACGTCAGCTCAGCCCTCAGGGCCAAAAAGCACTTTGTCTTCTCTCCCTGAGTCAACAGGGAACCACTGAAGGCTCTGGAGCAGAGTGGTCATCTGGTCAGACCATGCTCTAGGAATATCAATTTAGCATCTACGCCGAGGATTGGAAAAAGGAGCCACTGGATTCAGGAAACTAAGCCTAGGCTAGGGGATGAAAGGTGAAGAACAGCAGCAATGGAACACGGCGGTGACAAGGGGAATGGCCCCCATGGGGTCATCCAGGTGGAGACCCGGGCCTGGAGCTCAGGAGAGAGGTGAGGGCTAGAGCAAAGAGCTGGGCCGACGTCCTCGCTGATCCATCTGGCTGGGTAACACTGCTGTCTCAAAGTCACAGAGAAACTCTCCAAACGTGCCACAGCCTGCCTTGGGAGGCTCCTCGGCAAAAGCAGAATGGCTGTTTATGGGGTGGGGTCAGGGACGAATGAACTAGGTGTCACTGAGGTCCTTCCTCTTCCCTGTGCTGCTGGGATCTGTGGCCATGAAGGGCATTTCTGTACTAGGAATATCCTACGCAGAAGAGCGAGCAGATTTACACCAAAAAAAAGACCTTCAATTACACTCCTCCTGAGGGAATTCCTAACCCATGCTTTCAATCCCAAGGCTACCACAACCCAGGCCTGTAACACTGACTCAGAGGCAACTGGTGGCACAGTAGGCCTGGGCCTGGAGTCCTCAGTTCAAATTTGCTGCTGGCCATGTGACCCTGGCCAAGTCACTTCACCCGTTTGTCTCAGTTTCCTCAACTGCAAGATGGAATAACAATAGAACCTTCGTTGCAAGGTTGCTGTGAGGACTGAGCGTTCAGGACCGTGCCTGGCACACAGCAGGCACTAGATAAGTTCTTATACCCTTTCTTTTGCCTTACCCAACCCTGATCCTGATAGGCAAAAGGGAGCTGCCCTCCCCTGGCCTTCCCCTCCTCCAATATGCGAGTCACAAGCTAGTACGTGTGCAAGTGTCCGGCCCACTACTAGATGGGAAGCTCCAGGAGGGCAGACAGGCTTGGTATCCCCCCCACCTACCACCTAGCCCTGCAATCTACACAAAAACCGACTTAACTTGAAGCAAAGCTAATGACCCTCATCTCTACCCATGTGCGCACATCCCTGGCCAAGGGCCAGGCAGAAGAGGCCTGGGGAAGGGAGCTTTGATGAGCTCTTCTCATTGAACAGAGGAAGGGCTATAGCTGTTCTCCACCTGGTGATGACACGCTGAGGATGGAAGGGCTTGGCACCGATCATGCTGATTAAGGTCGTCCCATCCTGGAGGCTTCAGACAACAAAGAATCTCCCACCCCCAGATGACTGACTGGTGGGACTGCTGACACAGGGCTCTGCCCACATCAGTGCCCTGCTGCAGGGTTGGGGCTTTGGGAACTGACGACAAGCCCAAACCACATGAATCATGCCCAGGGAGAAAGGAGCAGGGACCAAGCCGGTCCCTCCTGGAACAGACACACGCCTGGTTCTCAAATGAAACCAGCCAGAGGCCAGGTGGCCCGACTCCGGAATCTGTGCCCTTCAGCTCTCATAAGACTCAGTTAAACAGTAACAGAGCAGACCGCCAGAGTCCAAAGCCGAGCCAGCCGGTTGGATGAGGCATCTGCAAGACCCTCAGGCCTGGAAGGAGCCTCAAGCAGGGCTTGGGAAATGGCAGGCAAGCAGCTGCTGGAGCTAAGAAGTCAAGGGGACCTGGGAAGGCCTTCTGGCCCAAGCCAGGCCTCAAGCAGGCCGTCCCCTCCACCCCTCCCAGCCTCTGCAGGAATCACCCTGGGGGCAGAGCCCCACCCTGCCCTCAGGCCTCCTTGCAGCCCCTGTGCCCCCACTGCTCCTGAAGGCAGGCTGTCTAGGCCGCTGGATGTCCAGCAGCTTCTCAATGTCCTGATGGGACCCCTTTGGCCACCCAGCTGCACCTCAAGAAGACTGTGGAACCTGCGGCACCGTCCCTCCCCAGTGTGGGGGCAGGAGGCCACTCCACGCCTCCCATTTCATCCCTGGGACAACCCTTCTGCCTCAGTTCAGCTCAAGCCCAGAGGCCACATCTGCTTTTCCTCCCCCACCAAGGGGCTGAAAAAGCCCCCAGGTCACGTGGTTTGGGACAGTAAAGAAAGCTGTGGTCTCCAGAAAGATGACACTGTATGGAAGCCCTCTGGGCCAAGACCAGCATTGACCAAAACCAGGAAAGGGAGGTGGTGACCAAACTGACAGGCCAGGGAAGCTGGGCTGGGGAACAGACACCTTTCCCTCTCTCCCACCCTCTGGGCCTCAGCTTCCCATCTGGGAGGTGGAGAGGCTTAGCCAGCGCCAACCGCCTCCTGGACAAAACACCAGATTGGGTCTCCCCCACCCCAGGAACCGCTCTGGGAGGAGTCACAGACGGGGACTTTTCTGGGCAGCTCCAGGCAGGCCTGGATGCCTCCAGTGCCCACCTACCCCTCGCCAACTGCCAACAGGGAACCCACCAGTTTGATGGCCCCAGAGAAACGAGAATTCCTCCCATAAACCTCTGGGGCCTCATGCCAGGCCGTCAAGGGATCACTGTGGGGCCAGAGGAAGCAAGACCCTGCCATCCACAAGCCATGGCCTCCAGCTTTCTGGCCCCTGGGCTCCAAGGGGAAAAAAGGCCCTGCCAAAACAGCGTCCCTTCTGTGGCCCTGCCCCAAGGCAGCGTCCGGCTGGTGCACAGGCCCAGCCCAGAGCAGGCAGACGACAGAGAGAGCCCGCCCGCAGGCCCTGGGGGCACTCCAGGGCCCACTGCACCAGGCAGCAAGCTGCACCCCTCATGGCAGAATGAAGAGTCACCCCGGCGAGCTGCTGGACCAGACAAGTGGAGGATCCCCACCAGCTCCGCGCGCACGTGTGCACGCACGCACGCGCACACACACACACACACACCATGAAGCTGTGCTGGGCCTCCAGGAGAGAGGGTGGTGGGCTGCCGCCACCCCTGCCCCCGTGGGATGGGGGAAGGAGATCCCACAGCAAAGGTCAAAGAGACAAAGGTCAGGCCCGCCCCCACCTGCCATGACCCCTACCTGAAAGCGTAGGTCTTCTGATGCCAGCTGAGCTGGCCCCGAATGCTGTAAGCGATGGTGGTGACAAACTCCCCGCCGAGGCCGAGCTCCGAGCACAGCTTCAGAGCAAACTTTTCCGGGGAGTTCTCCTTCTCAGACATGTCCCATTCAAACTGGTCGACCAGAGAGATGTTTCCCACGTGGATATTCAACTGGACACCGAGACCCGAGAGAGAAGGGGGAAGGACCTCAACACAGGCCCGCCCCCAGAGGCCCCACACACTAAGACAGCAGCAGGGCTGGGATCAGAACCCAGCTCTTCTTCCAGCTCTCCACCCCCTCCCAGAAAGGGGCCCTCCCCATCTCGGAGCATCTGCTAGAGAACAAGGGAGCTGGGCCCCACAGTCTGTAACCTGCAGGTGTCTGGGGTCACATCACAGTCAGAAGGCGCAGACCTGGGTTCTGTCACGACCATAATCTAGTCCATGCCAAGTGTTCTAAACTGGCAAGAGCTGCCGCTCCCCTGCTCGGCGGCCCAACCAGCCCTGAAAGGGACCCCGGGCACTGGAGAGACGGGCCCCGCTAGGCACCTGCTGCGGGCAAGCTGGCCACGGACCAGGCAAGAATCAGGTCTTCCTGTCCCAGAGGCCAAGGGCCCAGAGTCCCTGCCAACCTTAAGGGGTCTTTCTACTCTTCCTCACACCTCCAAGTCCTGAGCCTGGGTCTGCAGCAGGCCAGGGGCCCCCCTCTACCTCAAAGGGTCTTTCTACCCCTCCCCTCCCCCCAAGTCCTGAGCCTGGGTCTGCAGCAGCCAGGGGGCCTCCCCCCTACCTTGATGATGACTCGCTGGTCTGACTGGTCCTCCAGGAGGCTGTCCGTGGGGTAGGACTCTATCTGCTGCCGGATGGCAGAGGCAATGGCAGGGACAAAGGTCAGGGGGTTCAGATCTAAGTCATCGCACAGAATTTCTGAGAACATTTCCGGGGTCATCAATTTCTCTGAGATCAGAGGCAAGAGGCAGCCAGTGAGTGTCCAAGCAAGGAAAGAGCCCCTCCTCCCAGGACCCCTGCTGGGGGGCCTGAGGCCTGTCACACTCACTCCATGACCAACAATGATGTCTGCGCAGACGGATGAGAGACCCAGGCCCCAAAAGCCCAGAAGCTCAGAGCAGAAGGGGGCCTCGAAGACCCCTGGCCCTCCCGCTGGGAACCACGTCCTGACCCCAATCCTTCCAAAGGTATTCACGCTGTCCTCCAGGCTCCGGCAGCCCTCGGCTGGTGCGCCACAGCAGGAGACTGAGGCAGGGCACTGGCCTCAGCCTCCCTCCCCAGAGGGCCCTCCTCCCATGCACTCCACAGACCCTTTCAGATGCCCTTGTCGGCTTCTATGTTCAAACATCAGCTCCTCGTGAGGAGACAGCCAAGGAGGGAAGAATAAGTGAGGAAGACCTGGGGTCTGGACCTCTCTTGTCTCACAGAAGGCTCTTAGTGCTCAGAGCTGGGCTCTGGCCTCAAGACACTCACTCACTGTGGGATCTTAGGAAAGTCACTGAACCTGTCTGCCTCAAGTCTCCTCAGCTGTAAAATGAGGATACTAACAGCACTTGCCTCCGAACCCACGAGATCCTATTACCACAGTTCCTGATACATAGTAGGTGCTCTATATATACTTGTTCCTTGGACAGGCAGACTGAGGCTGGTCTCAGGGGCATTCTTGGCCCCCTGAAAACAATCACTATCCTGTCCTGGCCCGTCCTCGCTCCTCCTCCCCCCAATTACTCGCAGGTGGGGCCTTCAGATCCGCCATCTTGGGCCAGGCCATGGGATCTAAGCCGCCTCCTTTCCACCCTCTGTCGCCTCCTCGGGGTGCAGTGTGGCAATATCTCGGCTGGCTGGCCTCTCGGAAGATGGGGCAGAGTGGAGCTCAACACCCAGCTCTTCATTCCACTGGTCAATCCAGATAGCCACCACAGCCTACAGCCGCCAACCATGAAGTGCTGGTTCACTCGTTAGCCATAGCACCACGTCAGATGACAACTTCTTAAGCGAGGACACCAAAGGATGCCCTTCTTCAAGATTCGAGGCTCTGCTGTCCTGACCCTATCCCAAGGCAAACACCTTAACAAACATTCATCAGCTCAGTCACCTTCTCCCAAATGTCCTGGTGATGGAAGGAGGATGGATGGATGGGAGGCTGCACAGATGACAGACGGATAGACAGACAGATGGAGGGATGGGTGGACGGGTGGATGGATGGACAGACGGATGGACAGATGAATGGATGGAGGGATAACAGATGGATGGGTGGATAAATAATGGATGGACAGATGATAGACAGATGGATGGATGGACCATGAATGGATGGAGAGATGATGGACGGGTAGATAAATGATGGACAGAGATGGATGGATAACGGATGGATGGATGAACAGATAGATAATGGATAGATGATGGACAGATGGATAATGAATGGATAGAGGGATGGAGGGATAATGGATGGAACGGGACAGACGGATGGCTGACAGATGGCTCTGCTTCTGGTTTCCCCTAGCCAGGCCCTGGACTTCCTCAGGTGAGTCTAGTTTGGTCCATAACGTGCCATTGCTCTCCTGTAATTTCTGGGGAAGGTGCACACCGCGACAGCCCCAGCCCAGCACTCTGGGAGTGCCAACCTGCCGAGCCTCAGCAACACGTCTGTCCTCTGAGGCCCTCGCTCCTCCAGCAGACACCTACATCACCCTAAGGTCAGTCTCCAGGTAGCCTCTCCCTGGCACCGCTGCTGCTTGCCACAGGGATCTCCAGGTATCTACCCGCTTCCCTCTGGCCTTCCTCCCAGCAGCCCAGCAGCCCAACTCAGAGTGCAGGCTCCACTCTTGGGGGAAGGACCTGGACGTGTGTTTCATGGCCTTCCCAGGCCTTCCCCTCCTTGGGGCCCTTTCCAAGAGCACCATTCCTGCCTTCTTCTGAATGTGACAAGCTGTGAGAAGAGCCTCCAGCACTTTCCTTGAGCGGCCAGGAGGCAGCTACCTTCCCTTTGGGGAGACTGCGGTCTGTTCCTGCACCGTCCACCTGCCCCATGCTGGCTGATAACTGCCCGCCTGCCCTTCTCACTGGCTCCCCAAGCAAGACTGTAGGCTTGCTCTCCCAGGAGGCTCAGGCTGCCCTCAGCACGCCACGGCTCCATTTCCCAGGCACCCAGCTTTTTTGGGTCATCTGCCCTAGTTAGGCCCCCTGAAGCAGTCAGCTTGGCTCTAGATGGCTCATTTTAGGAAGAGGCCAACCAGGCTGCTGAGGGAGTCTGAATCTCGGGCCACATGCAGAATAAGCTAAAGGTAGAAAGGTGAAGATGGGGAGACCTGATGCCAGCTGTGCCCAGGTGACACCATGCGCTCAGCCCCAGCGGAGGTCTGGCCTAATGCCCAGAGCTCTGCAGTAGGGGCAGAGTCTGTGCCTCTCAACCAAACGCTACCTCGATCACCCACAAGGGGCTGGTTCCCTTTACCATCGGAGGCACTCTGTTCAATGCGCACGTCTGACAGGACAGTTCTGAGCAGGGTCCCTGGGCTTCTTCCCAAAGGACCCAGGACCCAAGCAAGGCCCATACACCCGGCCTGGGGCCAGACGCAGCCCCAGGCAAAAGCCCAAGCCCTCCACAAACCGTTCATGTTCCACGTGAAGGCATCTCTTAGTTTTTGTCCATCGATCTCCATGTCCAGCCTGATAGGGACCAGAACCTCAGGCTGGGAAGCATTTTCATGAATCACCGCAGGGTCGTGGTCATCAAAGCTGAAAAGAGAGAGTGAGGGGTTCAGCAACAGAGCCATCCAGCACCCCAAGGCCGATGCCGCCCCTGGCCAGAACACGAGGTTCCTAAGAGATCCCACACGCCCCATCACAGCCAGAAGAGGCCAGCAGCTGACCACAAGCCTCAGTTTCCCAGCTAGACACAGGGGATCACAACACAGCCACTATCGGACTCCTACTTCCTCATCTGTATGGGGATAACAACAGGTCTGTGGTGAGACCAAGTAAGATACTTTGTCAAGGGCTTGAGACGGCAGCTAAGGAATCAGGACGCCCCACATTCAAACCCACCCTCAGATGCTCACTAGCGGTGTCACCTGAGCTCAGTCACTGCCTCAGTTTCCTCATCAATACACCGGGGACCATAATAGCAACTACCTCCTAGGACTGTCATGAGGACCACACGAGTGGACACAGCGCTCGGCGCACCTTCAGGTGCTAGAAAAACCTGAGCCACTGTCGTCCCCATCATCACCGGCACCACACCCACCAGCCGCGGCTCACCAGAGGGGAAACGTCCTCTTCTTATCTCTGCCCATGCGGTTCCTGTTGATGGTGGTGGAACAGGGCACGGCGTCCAGATGGTGGGAGCTGTTTGGCAATGTCGGAACCCACTGGCTGTTCCTCTTGGCCTTCTGTTCCCTAGAGGGTGGGGAGAGGGCAAAGAGCAGTCAGGCGGGGGCACTGGTGTCTCGAGGCACACACACCGCCCCCCCACTGGATGGACAGGTACCCCAAAGGCAGGGCCCATGCTGGAGTAGAAATGAGGAGGGGGGACACAGGAATGCGAGCCTGGGGGCAGCTAGGTGGTGGAGTGGATAGAGCACTGGCCCTGGAGTCAGGAGGACTTGAGTTCAAATCCGGTCTCAGACCAGACATCATTTGACACTTACTAGCTATGTGACCCTGGGCAAGTCACTTAACTCCAACTGCCTCGCCAAAAAAAAAAAAAAAGCGAACCAGGCCAGCCTGAGTCTCAGCATCAGAAAGAACAAGGCCCCACCAGCACCCCGCGCGCGGTCTGTCAGAAGCCTTGTTCTGCTCTTGTTCTGAATGTCACTGAGTCGTTGGTCTTTGACAGGGCAGGACCCCCTCTCGGTCACTCAACAGAAAGCAGAGAAACAGAAGGCCAAAGGGACCGGCCCAGCTCTCACTCCCTGAGCTGCCAGGGATGCTGATGGATGACGTGATGCCCCCATTCACACAGCTGACCAGAGTCAAAGGCAGGATTGAGCCCAGAAGACCAGGGTGCCTGCCTCAGCACCCTCATCTGTCAGAGCATGACCGTCTTAGCCCCTCCCTGCCCACAGAGAATGGGGCTCAAGGGCCACAGATGCCAGCACAGTGGGAGCTCCCAGCCCAAGTCTCTGACACACAGGAGTAAAGATGGTGGGATTGAGGTTGCCCTCTGGCCCTTGCGCTGCTCTCGGCATTTCGAGGCTGCACTGTGAGCCCCAGGCACCCTCCTCCCTCAGAGGACAGTGGGCTGCCTTGCAGTTTCGGGGGGGATTTGGTGACCTTGCATTCACTTCCTATGCCAACCCCGTGCCAGCCCTGGCAGGTGCCCTGCTGCTGGCGTTGGGGCACCACCCATGGGGCTCTGGGCAACCCACCTCCCTTGCCTCCCTGTGGGTCGACCCTGTTACCTGAGATAGGTGGGAGGTTCTGTGCTGATGGACACAGCCTTGTACTTCTCATCATTCCCATCGAGTATTTCCTCAACTTCCGAGGCTTTTAGCAGGGTCACGCTGGTGGCCAGGGTGGTGTAGCCATGATCTAAACCCAAAAAGACACGGCAGCCGTCACGCAGGACACCACAGCTGGAGGGCTAAGAAGGCGCGTCCAGGCGGGCATGCACACTGGAGGCAGGACAGCAAGGCGTCAACCCTGGTCCAAAGGAGTCTGCTGCCCACCCCAGGGGCTCTCCCTGAAGCAGCGCCCACGATCGGCGCCTCAACACACAAAGGAGGCCAAGCGGGGTCTGGGGTAGAGCCTCCCCTGAATGGCAGGAGTGAGCTCACTGCAGTCAGAAGGGAACACAAAGTGGTGGCCAGGAAGCCAGACTGACCGGCCGACCAGAGGGCCAAAGACTGGCTCCCGAGTGCCCCCACCTGCCACCCCCACAGGACACCCCCAAGGCAGGCCTGCAAAGCACCACAGACACGACCACAGACACAGACACGGTATCTCCGGACAGATGGACAAGGCCACAAAGCAACAAAGATGTTCCCAAACCCCCCAAGCACAGGCATGCCATGCCACTGACATGCGTCCAAGCCCGGCGTGGTTGGCGACTCGAGCCTCCCCAAGCGCGCCATGGGCTGCATCAGTCACCGGGTACGTCGACATGCCCACAGCCACACGGGAAAGCCTCTGAGCTCTCCTAAAGCGCTTTAAGGACCGAGGCGTCTTCACGGCCCCAGCCCCGAGCCCACCCCTGGCCCCCTTAGCCATGTGCCTCCCCCCCCTCCCCGTGAAGACACCCCGGGGCCCTAAAACGCTTTATCATCTCTCTCGAGGCAGTTTGGAAACAGGCTTACAAACCCTTGTGAAGACGCACCCTTAGCGCTAGGTTTGGATTTTTTACCATGTGATGACGCCACAATTTTCTTCCTCTCCTCCACGGTGGCAAGGCGCCTCCACAGGGAGGGGTACCTCTTGTACAGAGACCCCCGGAACATGCGCAAGTAGTTCCCCACCTGCCAAGAGGAGAAAGAATCAGAGATGGAGGTGGAGAGGGAGACAGAGACAGAGAGAGAGATGCAGACAGAGATGGAGAGGGGGACGGAGAGGGAGATAGCGACAGAGACAGAGGGAGACAGAGACAGAGAGGAAGAAAGAGATGGAGACAGTGACAGAGGGAGAGA